ATACGATTCTGACCGGCCCAGGCCCCTCTTGTCGAGATGCCGTTTGCCCGTGTCTCTGCAAAGGCGCCGGAAAAAAACCTGAGGCCGCCGCGCCAAATACCTTGCAGTTCTCATAGCTCCTAAAACTTTCAAAAACAACATTTAGCGATTTACAGTATTGAAGTATTCGAGGAAAAATATGCCTGTTACAGTTGATTTTTAAATATTACTCGCTCACTGCTTACTTTTGAAGTTACTTGCGCATGCAGTCGTGCGTCCGGGTGAGCCGTATCATATCGCCTGTGGTGGTCCCTCGTGAATAGGCAACCAGCCCGCATACCTGCATATGGTACAGTATATCTTTTAAAAAGCACTTAGCCGGTCATGAGACTTCTATCCAGAAACCAAAGTACAAAGGGGAAGGAAATATACAAAAAACGGGCAGATATTTTTTGTTGCCTTGTTTGTGACAAAATAACGAAATCCAGAAAAAAATTAAGGTTTGCAGACGACAATCGACTTGCCGAAGTAAAGCCAATTTATTAGATTTGAAGATGATCGGTAATGCCATATAAACGCTAACCTGCTGCAGCATCGTGGACAAGTGTGGAAAAGGCAATCTTATTCCGACGGCCGCAAAACCTTCTCTTCCGTAAAGCGAGGCGGTCGGAGCTGTCGTTATCAGAGTCGGGCGGGGCGGCACGACCGATAAAGTTTGAAAACAGAACGTGGGGGCGAGAGCTGGTCACGCGTTGGCCACTGTTGCTTTCAAGGTCGCGTCCCTCCCCTTCCCGCTGCCGCCTCCACTTCACAGCCCTTCCTCCCAGGCGCCCCTCCGAGACGTCGCACGTCGCACCCGCCCCGCGCCCTCCGCGCCACCCTCCACCCCTTCCACCGTCCCTCCATGACGTTGCGGGAACGACGGGAAACAAAAGTGGAAACGGCGTCGTCTCCGCTCAACTACGCGGCCGTCTGCTCGTACGGGAGAGCGCGGCAGTTGGCAGACCTGGCGGCACCACAATGGCGCCCGGGGCCAGGGGGAGGCCAGGGACGGCCGGAGGGTGCGGGGGCGGGGCGGCCAGCGCACACACACATTGTTGCGCGGTCATGGCAACTTCCCGCTCCGCCATAATGTAGGCGGAAGCTCATAAAAACAGAAAACAAAAAAAAAATGTTCCTAAATTTTAAGTGTTTGTTTCAATAATGTCAAGAAGCAGGTCTGCAATGGAGAAGAGACAAGTCCAATAACAAAGACACAAATCGTTAGAGGAGTAGTTCATTTAACCGCGTCTACAGAAACTATGAACTGAAAGGGTGAAAAAATGGACATAGACGCGTTAACGATCGGTACAACAGACTACGAGGACCTAATGATAAACGACTCGGTAAGCTGGGAAAGGCATGGAGGAGCAGATTGCTAAATGGAAATAAGCTGAACTATCAACAGGCTCGAACTAGGACTGGTACTGGCATCCGCAGGCTGACAACATGTCCTCGGAGGCCCGCGGCCTCACGGCCCCCCTGGTGGGTCTCGCGGGGGGCGACGGCGCAGGGGTGCAGCTCGCCGCCTACAACTACACGTCGCTGGAGTCCATCGTGTCCGAGGTGTGGGAGCGGCGGCCGGGGCTGCCGGGCGTGCAGCTGCACGAGGCGTGTGTCCTGCTGCTGAGCGCGCTCGTCGTGGGCGTGCACGGGCTGGCGGGCTTGCTGCAGAGCGCGCTCTCGCCGCACGCCGTGTGGGCCCTGCTGCACGCCGGGCTGGTCCTGGGCTGCCTGTACGCGCTCGCCTCCATGTGCATGGCCGTGCACGCCGCCCTCTGCCGGCGGTTCATTCTCGACGACGAGGAGGTGGTACATGGGGGTGTTGAGGACACCGGGCCCCGAGACATCCCCACGACGTGCACGTTTCGCCCGCAGGACGCCGACGAGAAGGCGGCGCCGGCGAGCGCACAGGAGGAGGAGCCGCCGCTGGAGAGCTTCGTGTCGGCGCAGCTGGAGAAGGAGGAGCGAGTGCAGCGATGGATAGACAACCTTTGCGCGACGCGCGACCAGGTCAACCTGGAGGCGTGCGGGGAGATGGAGGGGCGGAACATGGAGGCCGAGGTGTCCAGCGCGGACCTGCTGGGCGACGGCCAGCCCCCGCCCACCCCTACGGCC